TCTGTTGCCCAGGCTGGAATGCAGTGGCACACTCAGCTTTCCCAGTGTTGACCTGCTGGGCTCCAGCAAACCTTCCACCTCAACCTTCCAAATAACTAGAACTACAGGTGCGCACTACCACACCTGGCTAATTTTTTATTTATTGTGGAGACGAGGTCTCGCCAAGTTGCCCACGTTGGTCTCGAACCCTCGGGCTCAGGCAATCCACTCACCTCATTCTCCCAAAGTGCTGGGATTACAGGCTGAGCCACCGAGCCTGGCCTGTATCATTTTTTAACTGTTGTTTTTATTGTCTTTTTTCCCCAAAATATTTTCCATCTACTTTGAATCTATGAATGTGAAACCTGTGAATATGAAGGGCCAATGGTACCGAATGTAATACCTTAATTTTTTTTTTTTTTTTGAGTCAGGGTCTCACTCTGTCACCCAGGATGGAATGCAGTGGCACTATCAGGGATCACTGCAGCCTTGACCTCCTGGGTTCAGGCAGTCCTTCCACCTAAGCCTCTCAAGTAGCTGGAACTACAGATGTGTACCACCACACTTGGCTAATTTTTAAAATTTTGTGTAGAGATGTGGTCTTGCTATGCTGCTCAGACTTGTCTTGCAATGTTACTCAGGCTGGTCTCAAACTCCTGGGTTCAAGCAATCCTCCCACCTCAGCCTCTGGAAGAGTTGTGATTACCGGTGTGAGCCACTGCACCCGGCCTGAATGTTATGTCTTTATGGTATGTCCACCAATGGGGGATGCTGGCAGAGGCATGATAGGCAGGAAAAGCAAATCTGATCCATTGTCTATTGCAGCAAAGATCATCTGCTGTCTCCAAAGAAGTGCAATCTGTGTTCCATTAGGTGACCGATGGGTCCCCTCTAAGTATGGCACTATTTCAGTTTCTGCTACTGTCCTATTGAACATTCATCCAGGTCAGCCTGGGTAAAGGAAGGAACATGGTGTCAGGCCCACAATTATTATTGTTCACTTTATTGTAAAATGCTTCCTTTGAGGAAAACAGAAGATACCATGGCTTGGCTGACAAATTTTTCCTGAGGAAAAGAGAGATACCCCAGGGAACCCCTAAAAGATAGTTTATGGGGAAATGGGGACCTTAACTGGGCTCAATAAGCCCTGGCTTAGCACAAAAGTATTACGACTCAGAGAATTTCAAGTTACATGTTTACATTTACTCTGAGTTATCACATCTCTTCTTGGGAAAAATGAAGTTTGTAAAAATTTCACTAAGTGAAAATTAAATGTGTTTTTAATTTTTTTTAAAGCACCCTCAGAAGTGAGAGCCTGCTGTAAGCTGAATTGTGTCCTGCTGCCCAAATTCATATGCTGAAGACCTAATCCCAGTGTGACTAGAACTGGGGTCCTGAAGGAGTAATTAAGGTTAAATGAGATCATAAGGATAGGGTCCTAAATCAATAGGATAATAACTTTATAAAAAGTGAAAGAGCAAGAGTAAGAGAGAGAGGCAGAGGGAGAGAGAGAGAGGGATGTACCATGTGAGGACATAGCCAGAAGGTGACTGTCTGCAAGCTGGGAAAAGGGCCCTCATCAGGAACTGAATTGGATGACACCTTGATTGTGGACTTCTCAGCCTCAAGAACTGTGGCAATTAAATTTCTGTTGTTTAAGCCACCCATTCTGTGGACTTTTTTTTTAAAAGGACAATCCAAGCTGACTAATACAGGGCCTTTTGGAAGCATTTGTATAAATATGCTCGGAATCTGGGCCTACTCTGAAAGGTCCATCTACATTCCTTTCCCCTGACTTCCTTGTGCCAATCCTGTAATGTTGCTCCTGTCAAGTCTCTAACCATCCAGCCAAACCATTAGCTACTTTCTTTTTTTTTTTTGAGTTGGAGTCTCACTCTGTCACCCAGACTGGAGTGCAGTGGCCGCTCCTGGCCACCGCAGCCTCGACCTGCTGGGCTCCAGAAATCCTTCCGCCTCAGCCTTCCGAGTACCTGGAACTACAGGCGCACGCTACCACGCCCAGCTATTTTTTTTTTTTTTTTTTTTATTGTAAAGGTGAGGTCTCGCCAAGTTGCCCAGGCGGGTCTCGAATCCACGGGCTCAGGCAATCCACTCACCTCAGCCTCCCAAAGGCACAGGATTACAGGCTAAGCCACCGAGCCCGGCTTATTAGCCACTTTCAAAGCATTTCTCTTTCCTTGGAGCACAATAAACCTTTGTGGAAGGCAAAAAGATAGAATCACAGTATACACATGTGCACATGCACATGCACATACACACATGCATACACAAACATATATATTTCATCTTTATACGTTCCCTACACTCAAAAGGATTTATGAACTGATTGCTGGGTGGCCAAGACTTTGTCAGGCCTATAGCCAGAGAGAGAGGGAGAGGAAGAGAGAGAAAGAAGAAGGGAGGAGATTAGGAGGAAGAGAGAAGAGGGAAGGAGGGAAGGAAGGGAGCAAGAAAGAGACCTCCAAACGTGATAATGCCCAGAGTTGTGTATCCCATGACCCAAATAGGTAAATAGGCCAAATTTTAGGCAGTTTGAACATCAAAATAGATAATGATGGTGTCATGAGCTGAATTGTGTCTTTCAACATTCATATGTTGGAATCCTAACACCCAGTACCTCTGAATGTGACTGTACAGTGTTTGGAGATAGAACCTTAAAAGAGGTAATTAAGGTAAAATGGAGTATATATGAGTCCTAACCCAGTGTGACTGCTGTCCCTGTAAGAGGAAGAGATTGAGACACAGACATGCATGGAGGGAAAACCAGCTGAAGACACAGGAGAAGATGGCCATCTGCCAGCCAAGGAGAGAAACTCTCAGGAGAAACCAATTCTGCTGACACCTTGACTTTGAACTTCTAACCTCCAGGACTGTGAGGAAACAAATTTCCCTTGTGTAAACTACCCAGTCTATGGAACTTTGTTACAGCAGCCCCAGCAACTGTCACAGATGGTAACATATCACACTGAATAGTGTAGGAATTCATGAGTGCTTACTGATGCAAATAAATGAATAATAAATGGAGGAAAAGGAGAAGAAAGCACTTCCTTACAAGTAGTTTACCAGGAATAATGTAAATGGAAAATCAACATTTGATAGTCACCGTCATAATTGATCCAGACAAGAACATTTATGTGAAAAGTAGCAGATAAAAATTTGGTGAGTGGATTGCCTGAGCCCGCAGTTTCGAGACCCGCCTGGGCAGGCGAGACCTCATCTCTACAATAAATAAAGAAAATTAGCCGGGCGTGGTAGAGTGCGCCTGTAATTCCGGCTACTCGGAAGGCTGAGGTGGAAGGATCGCTGGAGCCCAGCAGGTCGAGGCTGCGGTGGCCGGGAGTGGCCACTGCACTCCAGTCTGGGCGACGGAGTGAGACTCAAACTCAAAAAAAAAAAAAAAAATTGATGAGAAATGGATATTTACTTAGTCTAATAGTCTCTCCTCAAAAATGACAAAGTAAAATAGTGACTTTACAGTGGAGAAACCTGGCAGACACAACCATAGCTGATCAAATTAACACCACTGGGCGGGGTGGTTCACACCTGTAATCCCAGCACTTTGGGAGGCAGAAGTCAGAGGAATGCCTGAGCCCAGGGGCTGGAGACCAGCCTGGGCTGCTTGGTGAGACCTCGTCTCTACAATACATCAAGAAATTAGCCAGGCTGGTGGCACGTGCCTGTGATTCCAGCTACTTGGATGGTTGAGGTGAAAGGATCGCCAGAGCCCAGCAGTGCGACAGAGTGAGACTCAGACTCAAAAAACAACAACAACAAAAAACCATCACCAATAACAGGACATCATGTGCCTCTTTATAGGAGTACAGACAACATAACATCTGTGTATTCCAGCCCAAACTGTATCACCTGAAAACAATCAAAAGAAAACATCAGACAAACCCAAATAAATGGTTTGGTAGTGGTACCGTGCCTGTAGTCCCAGCTATGGACAGAGTAAGGCAGGAAGATCGCGTGAGCCCAGGAGTTGGATTTCATCCTGGACAACGTAGTGAGACTCCTCTTAAAAGAGGAAAAAGAAAAAGAAAAAAAAAAAAGACCTGTTTTCTGAAAAAAGGCCAAGGTCATAAAAGACACAGCAAGGCCGGGCTCGGTAACTCAGCCTGTAATCCCAGCGCTTTGGGAGGCCGAGGTGAATGGATTGCCTGAGCCCGCGGGTTCGAGACCCCCCTCCCCCCCATCTCTACAATAAATCAAAAAATTTAGCCGGGCGTGGTAGCGCGGCGCCTGTAGTTCCAACTACTCGGAAGGCTGAGGCGGAAGCATCGCCGGAGCCCAGCAGGTCGAGGCTGCGGTGGCCGGGAGCGGCCACTGCGCTCCAGTCTGGGCGAAGGAGTGAGACTCCAACTCAAAAAAAAAAAAAAAAAAAAAGACACAGCAGGACTGGGAAGAACTACTTCGAATTAAAGCAAACTCAAGAGAGGCGCCGCAGTACACGCCACGTGCGGTCGCGAATTAAACAACTGACAAAAGTTGCACATGGAGGGTGGATTCATAGCATCAGCGTTCACCTTCCTTGTGGTAATTGTAGTTATGTAAGGGAATAAGACAGTCGTGGCGCATCCAGTCTACCAATCAACAGCCGCTAGCCACAGCGGCCGCCTCCTCGCCGCGGCTATTTAGTGATGATTCAGACGGTACCCCCAGCGTCTCGCCCTCGCCCTGGCATCATCCCCTTCCCGGCTCCAGGCTTCTCCTCTCCGTCCGTGCCTTACCCTGCACTCTCTCCCCTCCCGGCTCCCTGCTTCTGCTCGCCCCTGCCCTCTTCTGCGTCCTCGCCCTCCGGCCCTCCCGCTCCGCCCTCTGCGGCCCCCCCAGGCGCGCACCCCCAGACCCTCGCTCCGCTGCGCGCGTGCGCCCTGCGCTCCCGGGAGCCCGGCTGCGGAGTCGAAGAAACGGCGGCAGCTCCCGGCGCGGCTCACGCGGGATCGGGGCTCCGGGGCCGACGTCCGCGCGGCCCGGGACAGGTGGCTGCGCTCGCCGCCATGGGCTGCTCCAGCAGCGCCCTCAACAAGGCCGGCGACAACAGCAGGTTCCGCAGCGGTGAGCAGGGGACCCGGCGCCACCCCTGCGCGGGCTCGGGGCTTGGGGGGGCTTGCTCTCCCGGAGGTCCCAAAGGTGCGCCCCGCGGCCACCCCGCCCGGCAGGGGGCGGGCTCCCCGGGAGGATGGGAGCGGGACTCCGAGCGAAGCGCGACTTCCGCGCGAAGCCTGGAGCGGCGCTGCCGTGACCGCGGGCGCGGCGGTCCCGTGCGCGGGGCTCACCCTGTCCGCTGATGGGGTCGCGGGGGGTGGTGGCAAATCCCTCACGCGGCTAGCTGCGGCATCCCCTTAAAACAGATGGCAAGTGTCCCCTCAAGACTTTCTCCACTTTGCCCTCCTGCCAGCATTTCTGCACCAAAGATGGCAAAACATGCGGGGAACACGGAAGACACAGCGTTCAGTCCCCCAAATAGGTTCGAAGAGGTCAGACACACGTTCCCCTACTTGTGGCATAGGTAGTGTGTATGTGCTTAAAAAGTGGCCATCACTAACTCCTATAAAGAAACCCTGGCTGGGCGCAGGGGCTCACGCCAGTAATCCCAGCACTTTGGGAGACCGAGGCGGGAGGATCGCTTGAACCCAGGAGTTCGAGACCAGCCTGGGAGAGTATAGCGAGCCCTCATCTCTGGGAGGGGAAAAAAAAGCTGGGCGTGGTGGCGCGGGCATCTACTACTATATAATAGCCCTGTGCTTGGCTGGATGACTAGATGCGGGAGCTTGCAAGTGATCCTGCTTATGGAGGTGGAGGAGGCAGACAATCAACACATGAGACAAATGGTTAAGATGGTTTCTAACAGTGAGAAGTACTGTAAAAAGTCTACAAGGCGATACACGAATTACAGAAGGACTGAGTTTTACAGCCCAAGCGCTTCTTAGATTTTGGACGCCTGACATTTTTGACAAACCTCTGAAGGTTAAGCAGATTCCTTTGAGCTAATTTACAGTCTTCTGCAAGGCTAACTTTAGGGGGAATTTTATACTCTAGCTTAAATTTTCCTTTTCACGGGTCTCTCAGCATCTTGAGTTATTGCAATAACAGAAACGTCTTCCTCTAGTTTTGTAGTAGAGCACAGGAATGTCTTGAATGTTGTTTCCAAGCCCAGCCACTGTGTCCTAATCAGAAATATGTTGTGTTGCTGTTACTTTTGTGTTGTATGACAATCTTTTTGTAGCTTCAGTAGATAATGGAAAGCAATAAAAGCCAGGAAATAAACAAAGAATTTAAACTGTGTATACAAGTGATTCCATACCCCTGGTTACGACAACAGTGTGAAAAGATGGGAAAGTCCATTCCTGATGCACAGTGCTCGTGAACCTCTTCCTGAAAAGGTGACAATATGCTCTGAGGAGGCCAGGGCAAGGAGCAATTTCCTTGCTGTTTCATGTCTTCTTGGATGAAATCAAATGGAGTTTTGCATTCTGTTCCATGACAAATCCTTGTTGGTTTTAATATGAAAAACTGAATGAAAACAGATGCTTCTGGAAGATACATTATATTATTCTGGCTCCTCTTACCCTCTGCCATGCCTCAGACATCCTAGGAGTAGCATCCCGGTTTAAAAAGCAGAGCACTAAATTATCACAGATTTTTTTTTTTAAACTGGTGAAAACATGTAACTGATGAAACTCTTGGGGAGGTACAAAAGTACAGGTAGAACTGTGTGTGTGTGTTTTTTGTTTTTGAGTCAAGGTCTCACTTTGTCACGTGGGTTCTGGAGTGCAGTGGCACAGCCAATCTTGACCTTCTGGGCCCTGGCAATCCTTCTGTCTCAGTCTTCTGAGTAGCTGGGAGTTCCACCACATTCAGCTAATTTTTTGGATTTTTTTGTAGAGACAAGATCTTGCTATGTTGCCTAGGCTGGTCTCGAACTCCTGACCTCAAGTGATCCTCCCATCTCGACCTCCCAAAGTGCTGGGATCACAGGCATGAGCCACTGTACCCAGCCAGAATGGGGTTTTTAATCCCCTCAGAAAATAATGGATAGCCTTCTCTTAAAAAAAAAAATTATCACCAATATTTATAATTATCCACATGAGTTACGTTCTTTTATCTTTTAAAATTCTTGCTTTTATTGCTAGCCTAAATTTTCATGGATATTGTTCTGGAATAAATGTTAAAACACCTGACAACCAGTTTCAGCGTGTAGAAAATTAATTAATATACTGCCTAAATTTTTCAGTGCACATATTGAATCAATCAGCAGGTGTATTTTGCTTCTGTTCCTCAATCAGACAACCCTCTCCTGTAATTGGATACTATTGTATGTTCATCAACATTTCAACTTCATGATCTTGGAGGTCTGATAAATAATTCATTCCTGTTTCTGCAGCTTTAAACTTCTTTAAATCCTGTGTACAACCCCAAGCCTGTGTGTATGTGCTTTTAGATAAAACAGTTCAAGTTTATCCAAGTTTCAGTCCTTGTTTATGCATCGATTCACTATACTCTCAGTGTCCAACAATGCTTGCCACATTATAAGCCCTCAGTAAATATCTGTTGAATGAATTACTTCATTTAATCCTTATAACAGTGCTGTGACTAAGTATCACGATTGCCTCATTTTACAGATAAAAGTAAATAATTGACCCAAGGTCACAGGGCTCCTGGGAGTCAGAGCTGGGCTTTGAATCCAGATGCTGAAACCAGTTTGTGTTAACTAGACTTAAATCTGGTTTTGCCTCAGATCACTCTGGATCCCCATTAGGTGTGTGGTCACCCACTATTGAAATAACAAAAGAAATCTAATCAAGAATATTTATTCTGTGAGCCATGATCATGCCACTGCACTCCAGCCTGGGCAACAGAGTGAGACCCTGACTCAAAAAATAAAAAGAGTATTTATTCTAATCCCTAAGTAATATTGCATTAATAATGTCTCTTTCCTGAGGTGCTGCAGCTTAAGCACCAACAGGGACAAAGTAAATAGATGGTAATTATTGACAAATTCATTGCTAGGTTAATGTGTACATTTTTACTTACAAGTGTAATCATTTGTTTGTTCTCACCGGAACATTCACTAGCTACTTGGAGTCCATGCTGTCTAGGGCATCAGCTGAGGCTTGAATTTCACCCAGTTATGTGAATTGTTCTTTGTTCTGCGGTTGTACCTTGTCTTCAACCAATATTTTCACACAGTGACATTTCAGTCCTAACTAGACAAACATTTTTCCTTTGAATTGAAGAACAAACATCATTAACATTAAGCTTAATTTTATACACTTTCCTTGCATATAGAAATTATATAAGTGGAAATTTTTTCTTCTAAGTGCTAGAAGTGTCTGTATTGACTCTTGGGTGCCTTTGTGTCTTTTCTAGATCCTGGCACACAGAGAGTGCTCAGTATGTCTGTGGTAGACCTCATTGTTGCACACAGCTAATAAGCACTGTATATGTGGTTCCAAACTGTGAAACTATTTGGAAAAGGCAATCAGTGAAAAGTACACCTCCCACCCCATCCCCACCATCTGCTTAGTTCTAGTCACACTTATGAGTAAACATTTGTTTTGTTTTGTTTGTATATTCTTCCAAAGTTTCTTTATGCATTATTTCCCTCTCATCTTTATAAAAATGATATACGAGCCCACCGAGGTGGCCCAAGACTGTAGTTCCAGCTACTCGAAAGGCTGAGGTGGGAGGATCATTTGCGCCCAGGCGTTCAAGGCTGCAGTGAACTATGATCACTTATGCAAACAGACCCTATACTCCAGCCTGGGAAGCATAGTGAGACCTCATCTCTTTAAAAAAAAAAAAAAATGTGGTGTGCTATACCCACTGTTCTTCACCTTGTTTTTTTTCCACCCAATAATAGAGATTGTTCCATATCGATATACAGAGAACTTCTTTCTCTCTCTTTTTTTTTACACCTGCATGATAATCCATTACATGATTTATTTAACCAGACTCCTGTTGAGGGACATTTTGATATGTTTCCAGTCTTTTCCTGTTGCAGACAAGGTTACAATGAATTCTTTTGTGCATACATCATTTTGAAAGGGTACAAGTATTTCTCAGAAGTGTTATTACTAAGTCAAAAGGTGTATGCATTTATAATTTTGACAGATAACTGCCTTCCAGAAGAGTTGTACCAGTTTATACTATCAACAACAATAAAATAAATCTTTTTCTCAAATTGAAGGCTGTCAGACATTTGTGCAGCTGCACAATGGGTATGGACTGGGCACAGTGGCTAATACTTGCAATCCCAATACTTTGGAAGGTCGAGATGAGAGGACTGCTTGAGCCCAGGAGTTCGAGACCAGCCTGGGCAACATAGCGACACCTCATATGTACAAAAATATATAAAAAATTACCCAGGCATGGTGGTACATGCCTATAGACCCTGCTACTCAGGAAGTTGTGGCAGAAGGATCACCTGAGCCCAGGAGATTGAGACTGTGGTGTGCTGTGATCGTGCCACTGCACTCCAACCTGATTGACAGCATGAGACCCTGACTCAAAACAAAAACAAAAGAACAACAACAACTAAAACTTAGGCATGGAGTGGAAGTCAGGAAACAACGAAGGGAGCACCCATTTGGTTCCAGGCGCTTTCATCTTTGACCTCATTCAGTCATGATCTCATTTGTTATAAAGCAAACATTAGTAGCGCCAAATACAACTAGAAAAGTGAAGCTTGCCCGGGGTCTCAGAGCTAGTTACTTGCCCAGGGTCTCAGAGCTAGTACGTGATAGAGCTGGAGCATAAGTCCAATGTGTGTGACTCCGAAGAACCTGCTGTTTTTACAACCTCAGTTCCATCTGGGATCTGGTCCCAGTTCTGCCAGAAACTTGTGGTGTGGGCCAGGCTCCGTGGCTCAGCTTATAATCCCAGCACTTTGGGAGACCGAGGCCGAGTGGATTGCCTGAGCCCGCGGGTTCAAGACCAGCCCCAGCAACTTGGCGAGATCTCGTATCTACAATAAGTCAAAAATTGGCCGAGTGTGGTAGTGCGTGCCTGTAGTTCCAGCTACTTGGGAGACTGAGGCTACTTGGAAGACTGAG